CCCCTCCCTCCTCTCTCTCTCTCTCTCTCTCTCTCTCTCTCTCTCTCTCTAATGTGGTGAAAGGTATTCCAAAAAAAAAGTTAAGGATAAGGCAAGTTTTGTCTCAAGGTGTCTTGCATGGATGGCCTGATGGGCTGTTAGGGTACCGTCAAGGATCTGTCTTATTCTTTATGAAACCACTCTGGTTAAGGGCATTAACAAAGTCGAGAACTTCCCAAAGCCAATGAGGATTGTTAGAGGAGTACATAAGGCTGGATCACACTTTCCCATAGGTCATTGGTTTGGTCATGAAACTCCTCCACCACTTGGCAAGTGGGGCAATGCTTGTCTGTTTGAGGCTTCAGATACCTAAACCACCGAACATTTTACCTGAGCATATTTTTTCCCAAGCAAATAGATGAGTCTTTTTCATGTTGCTAGAACCTGACCATATGAATTCCTTCATTTTAGAGTCACAATGGCCAGCATATGGAAGAGGGACAGAAATATGGGTATGTTTGCAAGGATGCCCATGATGAGGGTAATGTGACCACCAAAAGAAAGCAATCTACTTTTCCACACCGTAAGTCCTTGTTGGAACCATTCTATGACAAGGCCTCAAAGTGATTTCAGGGGTTTCCCTAAGCAAAGAGGAATTCCCTAATATTTACATGGGAGTCTTTGGGTCGCGCAACCAATTATCTTAGCAAAGTTCTCCAATGTTTGGGGGTTCATAGAAATGCCCATCATCTTTAGATTGAACCATGTTGATCCGCAAGCTAGAGAGCTAGAGGCTTCAAAGCAAAGAATGAAACACATATGATCTACCTCTTGGTCTGCAAAAGAACTTGGTGTGATCTGCATATTATAGATGACATATCTCTGGCCCAACACTTGGGAGGCCTCTCTGGTATAATCTAGAGATTGATCTACTTAACACCTCAGCTATTATGGAGAAGAGGAATGGCGAAGTGGCTCACTCTGTCTAAGGCCTCTCGTGAACTGGAAATAGCTGTTGGGTTTGCTGCTTATGAGAAAAGAGGAACTTGTGAAGGTACAGATGGAGTGCAACTTCTGTTGTCATGCACCTTGTCAAGAAGACACTAATCTAGGTGATCATAGGCTTTCTCCCAACCCAATTTAAGGATAAGGCAAGTTTTTCCTCGAAGTGTCTTAAGTGGATGGCCTGATGAGCTGTTAGGGTGCCGCCGAGGATCTTTCTTATTCTTTACCAAGCCACTCTGGTTACGGGAGATAACAAAATCAAGAACTTCCCGAAGCCAATGAGGTTTGTAAGAGGAGTTCAAAACGCTAATGAGATGAAAGTCTTTGATTTCTTCCGACTTCTTCAATTTTAGGAAAGATAGCAATGAACGTGGAATTCTTTCTCCTGTGAGCAATGCTGCTATTGTAGAATCCATTGAAAATGAAGGAACATCAGAAGCCATGACATCCCAAAATTTTGGAGAAGAGCACCATGAGAAAGCTCTTGGGCCCAGGGACCTCATCCTCTCCAAGGTCCGAGATAGACTTGTCGATTTCTTCCTAAGTTAAAGGGCATTTCAATAAAAGAAATTTGTCACTGATTAGCGAAAGGAGAGGTTGGCCACATGCAGTAGAGCTGATTGATCAGCTGTAGAAAGATTCGGAAGAAGGATATGATTGCATCAGATATTTCCAGGGGTTCATCAAGACAGTGGCTGCCGACTCTATGGTCGATGGCATGGGTCCTTAAAAAACTAAAAGAGATTTTATACAGGGCCAAATTTCATCTTCAATTACTATTAGCATAGATATCACCACACATTTAGTGATTGTAATAAAAACAAAGTCATATCATTTTGATTGCTGCATGTAGGCATATACGTGCCCAGATCAAAGGCATATGCATGGATGTACCAGAAATCCCAGTCCATGGTAATCCATGGCAATCTATTTCAACTCAAATGAGATAAAGAACTCCAGCTGCATGATTCCTTGGAAACAAATTGCCATCTAGCACCACAGGATACCAATTTGTTTTGTAAGTTTGTGTGTACAAAATTCATTTGATATTTGCTAATTTTAGTTCATATGACATCTCTCCGTATCAATCAGCTCTACCAAGTGTGACAACAACAATCAAGTAAAAGTTTTAAGAAGATGAAGAGGGAGAATAGCAGTTGCACAAACTATAGCATAATACACAGAATTGTTTTACAATTTTCAGAAATTATTTAGTGCAACTTCTTTCATGCCAGCAAAGGGGATTTAGGAGGAAACTATGTATAGGGTTCTCTTTTGTTGGGTTTTCACCAAGATATTTCATATGTTGGACCACTAAGTTACTGCTATTGATTCCAAACTCCTTCACCATCACAACCTAATAAGTAAAATCCTACAAACTGCTTGCAAGATGCATAAATGCCTCTAATAACATATTCTTATACCTTCAAGTTTGTTACAAACCAGAGATTCTTAAGTTGGGCCCAAGGACTTAATACTCAAAATAGGCCACAGAATCCCAAGGGATGACAGCACATGTTTCTAAGCAGTTCATAGAGTTTTAAAACATTGACGGACCACTGTGTGTTGTTTCTTGCTCATAACTCTCAGATACCAGATCGACAAAATGCAATATCTGATCATAATAAAAGAAATGCAAACCAAATTCAAGATCTTCCTAACAGATTACTCATGAACAAAGAAAAACTCTTGATGGCTATTTGAGACTAATATTAGAAACTGAGAAAGAATGAACCTAGAGTAAGTAAACCACAATTGACCACATACAAACCATGATAGCAGAAAGTAATAAATAGATAAGAACCCGATTGGGCCCTCCATTTCTGCTCACCCAAAAAAAAAAAATAGATAAGAAAATCAAGAGCATATTTTCCAAGAATAATAATAATAATAACAACACTAAGAGCTTACCGTCACGAAAACCATGTCAGACCCATAAACCGCCTCCTCTATTGACTCCTTGCTTTCCTTTGCAGCATTCATGCCTATATCAGGGTTCCCCCCGGCTCCAAGGCCTCTTGTCAATTCCTGACCAATTTGCAATCGATTCTCAGGATAAACAGGCGACATCTTCATTGCCTGAACATCCGTATTCACAATCCAAAACTCCACCCCTTTCATTGAACTCTCAATCATTCTGTTAACAGCATTTGAACCACCCCCACCAACCCCAATGACCTTGATCTTGGCCTCATTGTAGTTATTTGATCGAGACCCATCTCTCAATGGTTCATTAAGAACAGTAGAATTCTCCTTTTTTGGGTTAATAACCTTATCACCTGTCTCTCCTCTTAGCATTGAAACCTCAGGATGGAGATTCAAGAATGGGTCTTTACTGTGATAAGGGGAGTGTGTTCCACTAGAGCTGTTAGAATTCGGAGAGCCGAGACTTGCTGAAACTCTCTTGTTTAAGCCCGAAATCCCCTTTTTCTCTTCAAAAACCTTCATTTGGACGCTTTTTCCTAGGAAATGAGTTATGCACGAATCAATCCCAACCATTTCAGAAACGAAATGGGGGGTGAATGAACTGCCTATCCTCTTATATGGAGCTTTGGAGTGCATAAATGGGTCAGAAATAGAGGTAAAGCAATTGAAATGAGTAGCCATTATGTGTTGCTCGAAGAAATTTCCTTGATATTTCACGAAGTGGAGAGAAATTCCCTTGATAACCCAATAACTCTTACGTCTGCAAGTCCATCATAAACCTTTATCACAAGAGCTCACCTAACGAAAATACACCATTAAAAGACAGAAAAAAATTAAACAATATCAAAGTTACTCTAAACCCCAAAAGGCGAAAAACCCATCTTGCATTTCCCTCACGAGAGAGACAGAGAAATGAAAATGCTCAATATAACTGCATTGAAGTTCTATAGGTTTAAAAAAGTGTCGAAAGAGGGCATGAATTATACGAGTAGAAATGAAGAGATGAAAGTAATTATCCTTCATTGATGAAGACTTGAAGGCGAAATGATGGGAATTATGGCATATGAGGTAACAGGTAAGGTCTTAAAAGTGTGACAAGAGAAAGCGCACCTGAAAAACCATCGGAGTTGTAGAGAAGGAGAAGCATGTCGCAGAGGTCCTGTGCGCAGGTGGAATCATGAGGGGGGCTTCAAGTGCCAGTAGTTTTAAGTGGTGTGTACTGCTCGCTCACTCTTTCTCCTCTCTCTCTCTCCCTTGCTCTGGTGTTCAAGTTTGGTGTGGACACGTGCGGTTCGATTTCTAAAAAGTGTTTGGACTTAATTTTTGAGGACATGGAATCTCTATCACGGAAAAAATGAATAGGAAAGAACAAGTTAATTTTAAAAAATAAAAATAACAATTCTAGTAAGAAAACATAAGAAAACATTTGAAATTTCTATTGTTTTTAAGTGAAATACCTACTTGCATTTATCTTTAAAATGAATGCTTTACATTTTTTGGACCACATATGTAGTCATGCAGCCCGCATGAAACAATTTTCTTTCGATGAATATCATAAACTGGTGTATTAAGGTTTCCAGATCACCATGGAGGCTGCCAAAGAAATGGATGGAGGTTATAGAGATCACTCTTTAGTTGGAAGTTTATTTTCAACATATTTATAGGGAGGAGCATATTTAGGAAAGTTGGTTACTTTTCAGACTTTACTTTTTTAGTTTTTTTTTTTTGTATATTTGTAATGTTGTTTTCTGACATATTAGTGAAGTGAAAGTGCTCTTGTAAAATTTTAAAAAAAATAAAAGAAAAGTTTATATATAAAGGTACAAAGTTTTTTGAAAAATTAGTGTTTATCTAATGACACTCTTACAACCACATATTTTTAAATTTAAGAGATAAGAGTGATTGTAACTTTTATGTTCAAAAAACAAATGGTCTCCAAGAAATCCCATTTTTATATTAGGGTACAAGTTTTATTTTTGTTTTGAATGTTTATAGTTAGCTTCGTTAATGAAATGAGCAAATAGAAAACAACTCTAAGGGTGTGTTTGATAGTAGGAAGTGTCTTTTTGGAAGTTTAGAACTTCTTAATACTGTTTAAGTTTCGTGTTTGATAAAAAAACTAAACTTCAAATAAAACTTCCAGGAACTGTCCAAGTTCCAATCTTGCTTTAAAAAAAAAGTTCAACCCAAGGGTTGGAACTTAAACTTGGAACGTTTTTTTTTAGGAACCCCCTTCCCCATATATAAAATGTATATATTTTATTGTATAATATACAATATAATTTATTGCATAATATATAATATAATTTATTTTATTTATATAATAGATATTTATAATCTTATAAAATAAAAATATATACAATGTATAATATATTTTATTATTTTATATAAATATATATATATATATATATATTATATAATAAAATAAATAAAAAGGACAATATTATGTTATACATATATATTATATTATATTATATTATATCATTTTATGTATATTATATAATAAAAATAAATATTAATAAAATAATTCACTATCTAATATATCTTATATAGTCGTGGGAGGCAAGGCACACAGGGGGATAGG